CCACCCGCCCGCCGCCCTCACAGCCTGTCTCTGCCCCACATTGCAGGCCCTCTGTACTTCAGCCCCAAGTGCACCAAGCACTTCCACAGGCTCTACCACAACACCAGAGACTGCACCATCCCGGCATGTAAGTGACCGCAGGAGCCCCGCTGTGGGCGGTTCTCGGCCCCACTAAACCCAGCAGGCGCCGCCTTCTGCTCCCCTCGCGCACCCAGGCGTCAGGGGCGGCGCCCCCCGGCGGGAGTCGTCGCAGCAGCCAGGCCAGACTCACCGTGGGTGGAGCACTGGGTACCCGGTCAGCGCTTCCCTCGGCAGGCTCATTCTGTTCATGGACGGGCCTGGGCAGCTGAACACAGGCGCACGTGCTCAACTGTGACAGTCAAACACGTTAGGAAATGTGTTGCTCAAATGACGCGTCAATGCTGTTTTCTGGGTGTAATGAGGGGGTGGCCTGGGCCTCGCTGCCCACACCTTTCCTTTCTGTGGTGACTATCACCGGCCACGCGTCCGGTCCTGCTCAGTGCTGTCCCTCCACTGGCTTCATGGCCAACCCAGGAATGCAGATGGGCCCTTCGGTTGTAGCTGTCACTGTCAAGTGGTTTATCCACAACAATGTTTTACTTCCCCGAAGTGGCTCCGTGTGCTCTTCACAAAACAGGCAATGGTGACAGGTCACCTACGGTAGAGTGACATCTGCCAGAGCCCTAAACCCTGTTACTCGGTATTTCCTTCCTGTGAAATGGGTCACTCACCTCCTGCTCAGGGATCATCAATGTGCTTTCTGAGGCCAGAGAGCCTTCTCACTTTATGGCTTAAGTGTAGGTATATTTTTACATTAGGATCGTAGATTATAAATTTGAAAATGACCTCTGGGATCATGATTTCTAACCCTTTTGTTGTGGGTGAGGACACAGACGACACATGTGCTTAGCTTGTGGTGTCACACAGATGCCACGCGCTGGACTGGGCAGGTCCGAAGTCGGCCCCATAGTAAGGTCCCCGGGCGGCCAGCAGGGCTGGAGAGCCTTCGGACCGAGTGGTCACCTCTGGGATCCCTGGACGTCCTGAGCTTACACAGTCCATTGGCTCCACTGTGACCTGTTTAGGAAAGCTACATCCTAACGAATGTGGAGCGACTGGCAAACAAACACCAGGCATCCCCGTGACCCAGCTTCCAGTGTGAGCCCCTTTTTCCCTGGAACCCCAACTAGTATGCCCTGTAACTGTTCGGGAGGGCACTTTCCCTGTGGGGTGCAGTTAGCTGCTCGTCCACCACAGTTACTGCGGTTGCCTCACTCATCCACTCAGATTGTCACTCAGGAGTATGAGCGTTCCCGTTTTTACGCAGACTCCCGTGGCTCCTGAGCAGTGAGCCTCACGGACTTACAAGCTGCTGCTGCTTTCCAGAGTTCACACTGAGGGGAGCCCTTTACCTGTTTCCTGGGGCAGCACCTGGTGCAGTGGCGGAACAGGAAACGGTGTGAGGTGCCCAGGAGGGCCGGCTGCCTCACACGCAGGCTCGTGGCCCCTGCTCACCCAGGCCCTGTGCACCGGGCTGGGGACTCGCCCTCAGGACGCACGGGACGAAAGCCAGTTACTCCCAGGAGCTCCTGCCACTGGGAGGGGGGCTGCACCGGCTCCCCCCAGCTTGCCAGTCACGTCACTTAACTTCTGCCACGTGACGCTAAAGCCCAGAAGTTCCATAAATTATTAAATCAACAACCTCAAGCCTATGATCGCAGATGGCAGTCTCCGTATTGCTTCCAGGGTATTCAGAATGTTTAAAGACATAAAATGGCTTTAGTAGCTGATATGCTTGTTTAAAATGCTGTTTATTTAAGAGTTGTGAACTGACAAGGCTCTGATTTATTTCCGCTCCAGACTATAAGAGATGCGCCAGGCTTCTCACGCGGCTGGCGGGGAGTCCCGTGTGCATGGAGGGGTGAGGTAAGCCCACAGCCGCACTGCACACACGCCAGGCTGGGTCCTGCTTGGGGGATGCTAGTGACATTCATGCTTTGGCTAAAGGAGCCTCACTTTGAGCAGGACTGACGAACACTCAGCGTCTCTCCGAAACTTGGCCATCAGGAGAGGCAGCCCGCTAGCCGACACGTGACCCCAGGGGATCACTCTCGTGACACGGCTGGGCGTGTTAATCTGAAACACCGACTGTCCACTGCCCGACTTAGCACATGGCTGAGCGCACACATTATGCCGAGTCGCTTTTACACTTTCAGTCAGTCACCAAGACTTATAAATGAACATATGACTAACCACATCCATGCAAATTTTATAGACACATCTGGCAAATGTTTGCATTGGATCCTATCATTATACCAATATGATGTAAAGAATAGCTAAGAATAGTTATCTTTTTAAAAATATTTCTATCAAAGTTATTTTGTTTGCATAGCCTCCAAGGGTAAAACAATAAATGCACATTAAGAATTTATGATCTAAACTTTACCTCAGCCTCGTGAAGGCCAATGTGCGACCTAAACTACCAGTTATCAGCCATGCAGTCAGCTGATGGACTGCAAGTTATTTTCGTGACACAAATGCCATAGATTTGTCACAAAACTATAACTTCATAATTTTATACTTACTGTGTGTTCTGCGTGTGCCGGGGCATGACCAAATGCTAAGTCTGTCCCCACGAATAAGATGCGCTTTGGCCCTCGGATGGCTGTCCCAGAAACACGAAAAAGGGTGTCACACTGTCACTTTGCTAATGGCTAGTCGTCGTCGCATGAGGGGACAGTGACCTTGCACGCAACACGCTCACTGTGGAGCGAATGTGTGACAGCAAGAGCCCGTGGCCGCCAGGGGTGGGCGAGGCGTCCTGGCTCCATCAGCACCGTCCTTGGTGCCTTTCTGTCCTCATCACAAGTCCCACCATGGCCCTGAGGACCCACAGGGGGTCAGCGAAGCAAGTGGCTAACAGAGGACAGACAGCCTTTCTCCAGGTTACCTGGAAGTGCGGTGTTTATGCAGAAGCCAAGGGACACTGGGCACCGTGTCCCGTCACTTCTCAGACTTCTCAGCCGCGGGGCACAGAGCACTTTTCCTTCCGAAAGTGCTGACTGGATGGATCGGTGCGTTTCCCCAGGCGACACGTTGCTTCCATTCAGCACTTCTTGATAGGAAAGCACCCGTTTGCAGAGATGAACCAGGCGCCCCACTGGCTCACAAGTGCGACAAGGCCCTCCGGCCACACCCTCTGGCTGCGTCCTCCCCGCAGCCCAGGGACCAGCCACTGTGTCCCCCTTGCCCGCACTTAGGCCTGGACACATGGCTGGAGCGAGTGCGCAGAGGTGATGCCACTGCCAGGGACGCCCACTTACTTATGTGGATCACTGAGCGAGCTTCTCCTTCTGTGTCCGTCTGTGGGTGGGCGCAGCAGGCCTTGCCAAACGCCACCTGGAACTTGGGGAAAGCCAGACAGAAAAGGCATCCTGGCTGGGCAGTATGCGCGCCCTGGACGCGGGCCGGGCGGCCCTGACGTCAGAGCGCCCTGCATCCCTCCCCCATGCGGACCCACCAACCAGACTTGAGCTAGAAGGCGCGGGATGTCAGACAAAAGGCCTAAGGCCTGTGGCCACGGAGTCTGCTCCGAAAAGGCCACCATGCTCAATAGTCACACTTGTCACAACTGTCAGTAACTTCATTTGGGCCAAGAAATAGGTAAAGTTGAAAACAGGTATTTCTAACTATAATAATTTCAAACATTTTTTAAAGATTAATTTCTAATTCAGTTTTAAACTGCAACAGCAAACTGTGAACTGGTCACGATGTACGTTTGACGGTTGCCCTGTACCCAGCAGGGTGGGTTAGGGCTCAGCAAGACTGGAGGGCAGGACACAGGTGGCAGGCGCCCTGCAGGTCCCCTCGTCCTACCAGCTCCCCTCTGCTGTCCTAAGTCACGTGGCGGTGGCAGGACCAGCCTTCCTAAAGGCTGAGCCTGAGGAAAGCAGGTCTTCAGGGGTCCGAGCACAGGGACTGTCCCATCTGTGACCTCAGAGAGACCCCTGCGCCTCCTTTCTAAAGCTCGGTGCCCGACCTCTGGACAAGAACAGATGTGTTCCCAGCTCCCGTCCTTTGTCACACTGTGTCACCTGGACGTGCAGCTCAGGGGAAATTAAGAGCCTGCGTGCTGAAGTCTCCAAAGACTTTCTCAGGCTACACAGTGCAGCCCCATCTTACTGACCTTGAAATTCATTGTTACTTTGAAAACGGATGAAAGTACAACGGCTCGGGCATACGACATCATCCCGGGAACTGCAGACCCTGTGAACACGGAGGTGTCAGGCCACTCTGCTTTCCCAGGGTTGCCACAAGTTGTCAGTCATGTGGCCTAAACGACTGAGGATTTGACAGCACACCTCCCAGACTAAGCACTATTTTTTAGACTTTACTATGATTTATGATTTACCTTTAATTTTACGACTTTCGTTCCTTTAGCACAGCAGACATGTAACACCGGCAGAACTAAGTTAATGTCCACAGTAACGTAGAGAGCACTCTTTGGGACACAGAGAAATACACGTACACTGAGACCCCAGATCCCAAACACTGGGACGTAACACGTCTCCCAGACCGACAGAGCGTGCAGACTTACGAAGCCCATGCCTCTCTTTTTAGCAGGGGGCGGAGCGACGAAGGAGCCGTGAGAAGTGCCTTGCAGACCAACAGGAAAACAGAACCCACTACCTTCATACACGTCCCGTGAACAAGAGATGTATTTTTGCAGAAGTTCCCATGATTCCTGAGTTTTGTATGTTGCTGACACTGTTTGCGGACATATCCAGTAAACCGGCGTAGCTGACCCTCGTCATTCCAGAAAGCGCCACGTCTGACGTGAGCACCGGGACAGGACAGCGCCTCTCTCCTGACTAAGTGAAACCACAAACAGTGTTTGTTTATAAACATAACCAGATCTGAAACTATATTTTCATATAGCACATGGTATGATTTCATATTTTTATTACTTTTACAATTAAATTCCCAGAATATTATTTGGAACTGCATGAAAAATTTTAAAAAAGAAACTCCAGCCGTGTTTTGGAGACAGTGGCGTGCAAACCAGTGAGCACATCCAGGCTAATGTCATTTGTCCTTTGTGTAATAAATGTAACATAGTACCCAGACATTGTGCAATATGTAAATACTGTAAATTAAACATGAGAAATAAAGTGTTTGTTATAATGAAATCTTCAAAGTGACTTTTTACTTTCCAACAAGTTCATCATTGGAATTCACGATTTACAAATCTGGGAAGACACCATAATACTGGTAGAGTGTCCGAGAATCTGAGGCACAAACGAAACGGGAAGGCTACGGATTCTTGGAATCAACAACTGCACGACTTTTAAAAGGAGCGCTGACTACATCCTGGTGGCATCTTACACCCTAGTTCAGCAGTGAGTTTTTCAGAAAAGTTTGTGCCTGCGTGTCCTGTGTGACTTCGTCATCATGAAAACACTAAGAACCACAGAGGTCTAAGCCACTGCAGATTTTTTATAGGTGTATCTGACCAAGTCTGAGTGGCTCCAATTTAAAGACAGACAAGTGAATTCAGCAGTGAGTCTGCTCACAGGACCTGTCTGGGTGCAGCCTTGACAACAAAGTGGAGTCCATGGTTTGATGATCCTTATTGGAGATATTAATACAAACATAAACATTAAAGAAAAGCAGCATTCAGGACTCACTTATGAACATTATGGAACAGAAGAGAGTAAGAAACGTCTCCGCTTTGGGCTAACAATTACGCGATGACCGTGGCAGGGTTCATTTCTGAAGTACTCTCACTTAACCCTACGTTTTGTGGCTAATTATGTAACTTCTCCCCCTGCCCCCCCCCCGATTCTTTACCATTATAAAATTATTACCTATTTAACCTCTCAAGATGCATGTATGTCCCAGGAAGTTTCCCCAGTAAAATTCTCGGACTTCCACAGGGAGCCGACCCCGGCTTGCTGCCCCGCCCCCCACAGTGGGGAAGGCTGCCTGCTCGCCCTTCACAAGTGGGCTCAGGACTAAACACCCCACCTGGGACCCTCACAATACTGAGGAGAGGAAGCCCCCGCACCCAGGAGAAGCAGGTGCCCGAGAGGCAGCCCCTCTCTGAGTCACCCAGAGTCATGATGAGGACTGACCTGTGCCTGAGGGTTCGCAAGGATTTCGGGTGAGGAGCCATGAACATGGGTGAAGGCGAAACAGCTGCTCATGGATCCGGGACACGCAGGGGCCGCCCCAGGAGCCTGCACACCCGCTGACGGTCAGGCCCGGCGAGCCTCGAGCCTCTTCCACCAAAGGACATTATTGTACGTGGAAGCAAAGAACTTATGTTCACCATTTTACTTCCTAACACAGAAGATAAATGTGCACATACATCACAGATCGTTTGAAAGGCATCCTGAAGCATCATTTTCTAACTGTTCTTTCAATAAAAACGCAGGCAGACACCAGACTTACACCTTAGTTGTATTTTTCTAATTTCCCCCGTTTATTTTGAAGTCTTTTTTGACAGATAGCCATGAGAATTTTAAATTCGTTATCACAAAGTACAGAGAAATTATCTTTACTTGCTTATAAATTAAGCACTGATGGAAGAATATCAATATTTAAGCATTCTAACATAGGAACTTTTCCCAATTTTCATTAATTTTTTCATCTAAACTAATGTACATTTGACATTGGGGTTACATACGCATCTAAAAGCAGACACGTCTTCAAACTGACCACAAGATAGACCAGCAATCACAGGTCCTGTTTTCTGAATATAATTACACTCCAGAGGCAAAGGGACTCACATGGGAGCAAGTGAGATGACTTCCTCATGAAATAAACTAGACAGAAACTAGGAAGTGTCCCAGGTGCTAAGACAAATGCCATAAAGCTTTCTGTCCTATCGTAAATGTGCAAACGTGCACGCGTGTAGGTCCACACGTCTTGTCTGGGCTGCTGGACGGCAGGCCTGGTGCACAGAGCGTCGGGGACACACTGCTCGTCCGCAGACGTCAGGGAGAGGCAGCGCAGAGCACTCTGGGCCGTAGTGATGTCTGACGTGTTAGGTTCTGCTGGTTTGTGGCAGGGTTTTGTCGTGACTGGATAAAGGGGAGACTCCGCTGGTCTAAGAAACTTCACGGGCCCCACAGACGGTCTGAGTCCAAGGTATTTATTTATTCTTTGGCCAAACACAACAACTGGTTTCCATCTACAACTACTTTTAAGACCAGAAATAGCAGGTCAGCTGGAGTCGCAGCGCTGGCCTGGAGCTGCTAGACGTCACCCCTGGCCCTCGCCCGATACCGGCGGCTGCGGCGAGGGTGGCCAGCTAGCGGGTCTGCTCCAGGAAGGCCCTGCAGCACCGCACACACTGCTGGTACACGGTCTCGAAGTCGGAGTCATTCCCCTGGAAGGAGGGAAGAGACACAAAACCCGCCTAGCCAGATGCCCGAGAGGACCGCGACCCATCACCGCACTGAGCAGGCCCAACCGGCTGACGTCTGCTCGAGAGTGTCACAACTGTACTTACATAGTAGGGGTCCTCGATAATAAGTCGTTTTTCTGGATCATAGCTTCCAAGTAGCTCGATTTTAGCTTTGCTGTTTTTAACTTGATTACTTTTTCTAGTCAAGTCTCTGTAAAATTAAAACATGAACTTAGTTTTCTGATCTACGCTTTCAAGTTAAACAGGGACATCTGCTAGGGTTGTATGAAATGTCCACATCAAAATCCAGCAAAGGTGACTGATTTTAAAACAAACCAAACACTCAGCCCATCTGTACGAGCCCCAGGCAGCTGTGGCCACGGTTCCTGGCTCTGCCTGCAGCAGCGGCTCTCCCGCTCGTCACCTACACAGAACATGGGTCCTTACGCCAGAGAAGACCGATGCTTTCTCCCGTGAAAGACACGTCGAGATAATCAAAAAGCCCGTGTCAGAGATTAAAAGGTGACAGAATGGAGCTCACGCAGCCTGTGACCTCAGCTCAGTCCTGCGCTGTCTGGCGGCATCTCCTGTGGCGCCCCCGTCAGCTACTGCCGCTTCCTGCTCTTACACCCCAGGCCCCGGCCCAGATGGAAGCAGCCCCAGTCTGCAGACACCCCCACCTCCAGCTTTCACTCTGCCACAAGCAGCAGCTGTCGCCAGCTAAATGACGGTCCCCCCGTCAGTGAGCAAGTCCCTGCTGGGCACGGGTCTCACGGGAAACCTCGCCTCGCAGCAACTGGCCTTTCCCTCCACTGGCCTCGGCTCAACCAGGAAGGAGCACAGCTCAGCTCCTCAAAGAAATGGTGCGGCTCCCAGCACGCCTGAGGGTCCCATTAACAGAAAGTTTTCTAACAAAACACTGTAATACCTAAGCCACTGTGCAAGTGAGAAAAATGAACACCAAACAAAGTAATTGAAAAAATTAAAAAAAAAAAAATTTACGTATTTAAATGAGGGTCCTGAACAGAAACTTAACAGTATTAACAGAAACATAAGACACGCTGTTCCATCCATATCTGTCCCCCGTACAAAGGTCACTAAAGCAGAGACAGTTTCCTCTCATCAAACACATGGGATAGTTATGAATTGGCAGCGGTGTAAGTTAATGCTTCCTGAGGGCGCAGGGGGCTGAGGGCTGCCAGTGGCCCAGCCGCGGCCCTCAGCACACTCCAGTGTCATGTGATCATGTGATGAGCCACACAGCTTCTAAACTGGTAAAACACGTGGTATGTGCTAATTTTTGGCATGATCACATTATATCACATTCTTTCTCCATTAGGTATAATTTTAGTTTATTATGGTAGCCCGCACCAGATGTAAACTTGATGAGGGCAGCATGAAAATGTCTCCTCACTGTTTACCAGTGCCTGCACTGCGACAGGCACACAACAGCTGAAGAGTACCACCAACTTCCTTGTTGCCCAAATACAAGTCCCCTGGGTGCGATGCGGCCCAGTGGGGAGTGTGGCTCACGGGAGAGGCTTCCGAGCTCAGGATAAAATTCCTTCACACCCACGTCTGTGAACTTGGGCATGGACCCCAACCTCCCTGTGCCTCAAGTTCCTCTGATGATGCAAACCTAGGGATCACATGCTTTGGCACATAGAGCACTTAACACATTGTATCACGGCCGGCCACTTCTAATACCATAGTCTGTCAGGTTTTTTTTCTAAACAATTAAGGCAATCCACAATTTAAATAGAGTAAAACCTTTTCTTTTCTGTCAGTCCTGCTTTTTTTTTGGAAGGGGGGGGTCAGCAGTAAAGGGGGAATAAGATGAGAAACACAGTGAAACACGACACTGTCCATGAATCATTATAGCCATGACAAAGTTACTAGCCTGCCAACTAAGACACAGCCGTGTACAGAACTGTGTCACAACCCAGCTGGTTTTCAAATTCAAGCTAACTGAGCTCTCCCTTATCAAAGGCTGTGTCTCTTTGTAAATACATCCCCCTAGGACAATCCTAAATTACTTTCTGAATTTCTCACTATTCTAAATAAACTAATTCTGTATATGTGACGTTTACCATCTATTAAAACTTTAAGATAATAAAAAAGTCACTTTGGGCAACTACTTGGCCTATTACTAAAATGAGAGTTGAACAGAAATACCCTTAAAAAAAGGTGATTACCTCAGATTGCTTTCATCCATACATAGTATATAATCAAATGTGGCAAAGTCTTCTTTGGTAACCTAAAATTAAATAAGAAGTCAAAAACAGTGTTTATATTTATATCAATCAAGCCTAGAGGATCCAAAGCAGAAAAAAAAAAACCTCTCTGAGAATCCGTTACTCAAAACCTAGGGTACTTTATTTATTTTTTTTAATCTGACTCTCTGGGGTGGAGACCAGGCATCATATAGCTGAGCCATCCTGCCACCTGTTGGCAGCTCAGCCGCAGCTCACCTTGGGCCAGAAATCGAACCGCTGTTGTTCAGAGCTTGCACTTTTGAGCGAGCTCTTAACCAACTGAGTCATTTGGTCGGCCCAAAATTTAGGGTACTTTAAATTTAGGTTACTTTAAAATGAAAACAGAGTTAACCTAGTTCCTAAAATTGTATCGCAGAGAAATTTTATTGGGTTGTCGGAAAAGTCATGATGCATTTTTACAACAAAAAAATACGTCATGACGTTTCCGACAACCCAATATATTATAAAGTTCCTGTAGTAAATGTAAAATGGTATAATACGTAGACACAAAATTTATATTTCATCTTCAATTTCTAAGTAACAATGTATAATTTAAATAAAATGTTAAAATGTCACACAAGTGAAAATAAAAACACGATGACCTAAAATCTATGTGAAACAGCAAAAGCAGTCCTAAGAGGGAAATTCATAGCAACACAGACTACCTCAAGAATAAGAAAAATTTCAAATAAACAATCTAACCTTATACCAAAAGTAACTACTAAAAGAACAAACAAAGCCCATGTGAGTAGAAGGGAATAATAATGATCAGAGCAGAAATAAATGAAATAGAGACAAAAAAATAAAATTAAAAAGATCAATGAAACTAAGAGCTGGTTCTTTGAAAAGATAAACAAAATTTGATAAAACTTTAGCCAAACCCATCAAGAAAAAAAGAGAGGGCCCAAATAAATAAAATCAGAAGTGAAAGGGAAATGACAACTGATACCACAGAAATACAAAGGATTATAAAGAAACACTGCAAACAATTATATGCCAAAAATTGGACAACCTGGGTGGAATGGATGAATTCCTAGAAATATGCAATCTTCCTGAATCAGGAAGAAATAGAAAATCTGAAAAGACTTATTACTACTAACGAAATCAAATCAGCAATCAAAATAGTCCCAACAAACAAAATTCCTGGACCAGATGGTTTTACAGATGAGTATTACCCAACATTCACAAAACTAGTATCTATCCTTCTCAAACTCTTCCAAAAAACTGAAAAAGGAAAGCTCTAAAACTCGTTCTACAAGGCCACCATTATCCTGATACCAAAACCAGACAGAGACACTACGAAAATGAAAATTACAGGCCCATATCCCTGATAAACATAGATGCAAAAATCCTCAACAAAATATTAGCAAACCAAATTCAGCAATACGTTAAAAAGATCATACACCATGATCAAGTGGGATTTATTCCTGGTATGCAAGGTTGGTTCAATTATCCAAAAATTAATTAATGTGATATACCACATAAACAAAATGTGTACTGTGTTCAAAGATAAAAGTCACATGATCATATCAATAGATGCAGGAAAAGCATTTGACAAAATCCAACATCTATTTATGATAAAACTCTTAGCAAAGAGGGGATGTAGGGAACACACCTCAACATAATAAAGGCTATATATGACAAACTCACAGCTAACATCAAACTCAAAGGTGAAAAGCTAAAAGCTTTTCTTGTAAGACCAGAAACAAGACAAGGATGCCCACTTTCACCACTTTTATTCAACATAGTAGTGGAAGTACCAGCTACAGCAATCAGACAAGAAAAGAAATAAAAGGAATTGGAATGGAAGAAGTAAAATTGTCATTATATGCAGATGACATACTATACAGAGAGCCCCAAAGATTCCATAAAAAACTATTAGAATAATTGAATTCAGTAAAGTAGTATATAAAATTAATATTCAGAAATTGGTTGCATTTTATACACCAGTAACAAACTACCAAAAGACAAATTAAGAAAACAATCCCATTTATAATTTCATCAAAAAACAAAACAAAAACCTGGGAATAAATTTAACCAAGGTGAAAGACCTGTACTTGGAAAACTAAAAGACTTTGCTGAAACAGAAGTTTAAGACACAAATAAATGGAAGGCTATACTGTGCTCATGGATTGGAAGAATTAACATTGTTAAAATGTCCACACCACCCAAAGCAATCTACAGATTCAATCCCTATCAAAATACCAATGGCATTTTTCACAGAACTAGAACAAATAATCCTAAAAGTTATATGGATCCACAAAAGACCCCAAATTGTCACAGCAATATTGGGAAGAATAAAGTTGGGCATATCACATTACCTGATATCAAACTATACTAAGGCTATAGTAATCAAAACAGCATAATGGCATAAAAACAGACACAGATCAATGAACAGAACACAGAGCCCAGAAATAAACCCTCACTTATATGGTAAATAAATCTATGACAGAGAGGAGACAAAAATATACAATGGGGTAAAGACAGTCTCTTCAATAAATGGTGTTGGGAAAATTGGATATGTGTAAAAAAAATGAAACTAAACCATTACACCATATATAAAACTTAAACTCAAAATGTATTAAAGACTTAAATGTCAGACAGTTAAAACCATAAAAGTCCTAGAAGAAAACACAGGCAGTAAACTCTTTTGACACTGGTCTTAGCAGAATTTTTTTGGAAATGTCTCCTTGGACAAGGGCAACACAAGGAAAAAGAAACAAATGGGACTACATGAAATTAAAAAGTTTTTGCACTGCAAAGGAAACCACCAACAAAACAAAAAAGCAACCTACTGAATGGGAGAAGACATTTGCAAATGATATATCCAATAAGGAATTAATATCCAAAATATAGAAGGAACTCATACAAGAAAACATAAAAAAAAAAAATCCCATAAAAAAATGGGCAAAGGACCTGAATAGATATTTCTCTACAGAAGACACACGGATGCCAACAGACATATGAAAAAATGCTCAATGTCACTAATCATCAGAGACATGCAAATCAAAACCACAATGAGATACCGCCTCACACCTGTCAGAATGGCCATCATCAATAAATCAACAAACAACAAATGTCAGTGAGGATGTGAAGAAAAGGGAACCCTCATGCACTGTTGGTGGGATTGTAAACTGGTGCAGCCACCATGGAAAACAATATGGAGGTTCCTCAAAAAGTTAAAAATACAACTACCTTCTCACCCAGCATTCCACTTCTGGGTATTTACCTGAAAAAATCCAAAATGCTAATTGGAAAAGGTATCTGCACCCCTATGTTCACTGCAGCATTATTTACAACAGCCAACTTATGGGAGCAACCCAAGTGCCCATCAACAGACGACTGGATAAAGAGGAGGTGGTGCATTTATATGTACAGTGCGATACTACTCGCCACAAAAAAGAATGAAATCCTGCCATTTGAGACAATATGGAGGGACCTAGAGGGTACTATGCAAAGTGAATTAAGTCAGACAGAGAGAAAAACCATATGATTTCACTTATATGCAGAATCTAAAGAAGAAAACAAATGAACAAACAAAACAGAAACAGACTCGTAGATACTGGGAACTGATAGTTGCTAGGTGGGAGGGGTGGGGAAATGGGTGAAAAAAGTGAAAGCGATTAGTAAGTACAAACTGCCAGTTATAAAAACAGTCACAGGGCTGTAAGCTCAGTACGGGAACAGTCACTAATGCTGTGATAACTGCACACAGTGCCAGGTGGGGACCAGACTCATCGTGGTGATCACTTCATCAGGCATAGAAATGTCTAACCACGATGCTGTCCACCTGAAACTAATATAATACTGTATGTCAGCTGTCACTGAGAAATAAATAAATAAATAAATAAATAATAAATAAAGTAAAATGTCACACATTCAACCTCCTTCAGTACTTTACTCTGTGTTTCACTCTACAAATACTTAGCATCCTAGGTCCTGGTGTACTCAACCCTGACACATGTGAGATGCTGGGTGTGCAGCCAAGAGAACTGCACACAGGTGCGTCCCCGGAGACACATACAAAAGCATTCACAGCAGCACAGAGCCCCAAGCTGGGCACGAGCTGTGGCCCAGCTGTGAAACGAGAGACCGGCATGAACGTAAGGCCCGGCCACAAGCAACGCCGCAGAGAGCCGGACAGGAGCTGACAGGCAGAGGACACACCACAGGATCCACGGCCGCAAGGCTGGAAAGACAGGACACGCTTCAGTGGTGACCTCTGGAGCAGAGGGGCAGTGCTGGTCACGCTGTAAAAATGCACAGGGCTGACACTGACAATCTGTGCACGTCAAAGACGTTTACTGAAAAGAGGAAAGAATGTACACTAAAGTAAACATCTCCACAGAACTAACCGGATGTGAGCGTTCCCTTACTCAAGAGAGCTGACTGCATTTGTTAAAAAAAAAAAAAAAAAGCACCCGAAATGCATTTTATTTATTAAAACCAAGTGGAAAGTACTGGCAAAATTAACACTGTAAGAAATGTAAGAGAATAGTTCTCAAACTGGGACAATTACTAAAGAGAAAACCTGTAAACATTAACAAGAGTCCAAAAAATTCAAGATCTGATGTAATACTAATTTATAAAACATATCTTACCAGTACTTCGAAATTTAAAAAAAAACTACAGAGAAAAGTTTCTTAATAGCAACAGGAAAAAACACAGGCAAAAAACAGATTCTGTAGAAATACTACTTCTAAAACTGGTAATTACAAGTGTTCTTAAAAAATAGAAAGTTTCTAGCTTTGGTTTTGTTTGTTTTTTTCATGACGTGTATTTAAAATACTTCATTGATACCCACTTATATAATAGTATACAAAAAAAATCATCTAATCCTGGTGAAACATAGAAAATGTAAAAGTATGATTACTGAAGTATGAATTCTGAAGTACTTTTCAAAATAAATCTATATTCTTTAAAAAATAGAAAAAATAAACTGACAAGGTATGTAAAAGCTTGAAGAGATTAGGATGGACAAATGATTAAATGTTTAACCTTCTATCCAATGAAAATTCCATTTAAGAAACGGTCAGGTCCCTAAAGTAGTTAATTTAAATAGTATATTGTTAACAAATAGCATAGCCAGAAATTAGAAGCTCACAGATCTCAGAGTTAAGTTGCCTAAGCCCAAAATAATGTGTGTGTTACTAATCTCTTGAGACATCATTAATGTATTAAGGGTGTTTTAAAACATTTTGTTTTGTGAGTTTTCTGGCTCACACTTCAATATATTTTTATTGAAACAAATAAGCCAGTGAGCAAACCCCAGATCTACCATTTGAAGCTGGGTAACCTTCAATAAGTCACTTATTTTCTCTCCAGAACTCAGTTTCTTGATCTGCAAAATGGGTTCACCAACCACTCCTTTCCCTAATGAAGTAATGGAGGATAAAACTGAGCTGATCAAAATGAAAAATGCAAAGCAGTATGGCAAAGCACTCTGAAAAGCTGTACAAGATGTGCTATAACCATGATTAAAGAATCTTTACCTGGGCTTAGAAAAAGTTCTGATTCAAGCACTACCATTAAACTACGGTTCTCATGTGCCATCCATACTATAAACGTGTAATGCATCTGACGACTGATTTTCAAGACATCCAGCTTCCGGATGGAAGGCCTCCAAAGCCCATCTGGACACGGCCGTGCTCTGATGCTAGTCCACAGCCTCACTGGGCCTAAAGCCAATACGCTTCCTTAGGTTGGATACGGACAAGAAGCCACAGATTTTAGCCAGATTTAAAAAACGAACCCAACTGGATCTCCATAAAATAGTCCCAGTGATAAAAATGTCCCTGCAGAACAGCATATGAGGCGTTTTGTGTCAGAGATGGAGCCAGTTTCTTTAGGAGCCGGCCCCTGTGGCTCTGGAAGGTTCCAGCATGATCCTAGTGACAAACTGTGTCCCCCACCAGGAAGGCTGAAGGAAAACCTCAGTCCCGTGGTTACTCGAGGCTGGGGCCCTGCGGCCAGGAAGGTGCCGGCAGTTCCAGGTGGCTATTTAAGTCAGGGGAAACTCGAGATCAGCCCGGTGGGCACACTAGCCACCCGCAGACAGAGCTCCCCACTGGACAGGGCCAGGACCTGCGCCCCGCAGTGCGACTGTCCTCCGCCCGCCACCTGGCACCCACAGATGAGTGTCCCTGCACACGTCAGGCGGCGTTGTCCTAGCAATCGGCTCTAATGGGAGCAGACTGGTCCTGGTGGTCCCAGCTTTGGAGACCTCGCAGCCCCAAAGTATGTAATTACGTGCGTTTTAATAAGGAAATTGCAAGACCCCCACGGTCTGTCAGGACTGTGGAACCAGGGGTGAAACAGGGCGGGTCCCCGGGGCAGGTGGACGGGCTGTGAATAAACGCACTGACAACAGGGAGCCTGGGCATCTGTCACCATGGACCACGTTAGGACTCCACCCGTTAGAACGAAGCAAGGGCTCTTCTACCTGTCTGGCTTTATGGGCTGTGTCAATGCCATGGTTTCTCAGGCAGCTCACAGCTCTCGGGTCCGGAGACCGGCCCACGTTCCAGTCGGAAACAGCGCCGCTGGCCACGCTCCACTGCAACAGAAACACAGGTGCGCCTGCGCGTGAGGCCCCGTACCTGGCGGGCGACGTGGCTCATGGGGACGCCGTGTTTCTTCATGCAGCTCTGCCCTCGGTAATCAGGGGGGTTTCCGATCTCATACGTGGATGTGGCCGCACTGTCTATCCTCCACTGCGGAGAAGAAAACGCGTTTTTTCGCAGTTTCCTGCCCCAAAAGCATGCAGGTTGGTCTTTTAAGCATCGGAAACGGTACTTACAGCATCGGAAACGTTTTGATCAGTGACAAGTTTTCTGAAAACTGCTTCTGCGATGGGTGATCGACAGATGTTACCTTAAAAGGAGTGGAGGGCAGACAGTGAGCGTCAAGCTTGAGGGAAGAGCACAGGCTGACCGGCAGCCACTTCACACTCAGCCACAGGGATGTACCCCTAAGGAAAGCCAGGCTAAGACGAACGTGACCGGGTACCAGCTGGCCAAATCCAAGTTCGACGATTTGACACCAACTGTTCAAGTGTTCCAAGTGCAAATGACAAGAAATCAACAAAGTGGCTGCAAGCAGCCTATTTACTGGCAATACAAGAGTTAAAATATGTATCTTCAGGGATATTCCACACGGTAAGACACAGCAGTGGACACAGGCATTATCGGCAGCCCCACACAAACGTCACTGCACAATCTGTGCCAAGTCCTGCCTGGTGCCGGACCCAGGAGTCGACTCACTGCATTAGGGTGCGGCCCCCAGGCACCACGCCTCCCGGACCCAGCATCAGCTGCAGTTGAGGAATTCTCTAGAAGGACCCAGAGTTCAGGAAAACGCTACCCTTATGGTTATAGTTTTACTATAACAAGCAGATACAAAGCAGGACCAGCCACAGTTTGAAAGCACAGCGCAGACTCTGGAGGAATTCCGAACAGAAAGCTCTCAGGTCCTCAGGGACATGTCACCTCCTGTCATCAATGCTCACCAGGGCTCATGTTGAGGGGTCTGGGGTTTTCACTAAGTAGGCACAACACTGAATTATTCGCCTGCAGCTGGACCTCCAGCAGCCCCTCCTCAGCCACTCCCGTACAGGGCCTCCCTGGAGAACAAGACACTCCTACTGCTGCTCCTAGGGAATTCAAGGGGCCTGGAGGTGACCTCCCAGGAGCCAGGACAAAGGCCATCCCTGTCATCAGGCCGGGCCTTTCCTTACTACACAGGGGAAAAAATAAGACATGAAATACTCTCAAAATAGTCCCACCACGTGCCAAGCAATGCATTTACAGGAGATACAGAATTAGCGGTGATGAGAACAAGATGAATGCTGACTGACAAGCAACATTCACAGAAGCACAGGAAGAGATTCTAAAAAGCATAAAGACGACAGTAAGAAAACTTCTCATCAGGAAAGAAGGCAGAGTAGAGCTGATCTTTAAGGGATGAAGGAGACTTAAGTGGCATGCAAGTCGGGGTGGCCGGGTGAGTGAGCAGGGGGCCGTTGCAGGCACGCATAGTAAATGTGTCAGCGCTGCTGGGCCCGGAGCACAGGAACCCCAACCTGTGGCCACAGTGGGAAGAAACAGGGTTCAGGGGACAGGAGTGACGAGGCTCGTCTCACAAACTTTATCTCGTGTGCCTGCCACTTGCGAGCAGGCGCCGTGCCAGGCCCCTGAGAAAGGGAGCTGCTGCAGATATGGGCCCTTGGCACCGCAGCTGAGGAACCCTGAGAAGAGCCTGAGGCTGAGGGTGGAGGCTGAGACCCTCCGAGGCCAACGTTGACAGAGCAAGGGACGGACTGAAGCTGAAGGAAGGGCTGGGTGACACAAGAGAAACTGACCAGATGGCACTAGATGACAAGACTTGACTGTTTACTAATATAAAACTATCCTGGTTTCAAATAAACATGATAATTTGGATCTTCTAAACTGTTGTGACAACGAACTAATTTGCTGCTGTATGAAACGAACTCGCTGACTTAACAATATTCTTCAGTTTCTACATGTAGCCAGGAATTAATCTTGAACGCCCTCTAGAAGCTACTTTGTGCTGTGAAGTTTTCCCTCCCCACATCCTAAATCTCTAATTTTTAAAACAGGTACTAGCACCCCCATTATTTTTATTACAGAAAGGTTCCCATGGATGTGTCATCATTTTACTTGCCACCATATGCCTCAGAGAATACTTTAAAGAGAAATCACTCTTCCAAATTAAGACAGCTATTATTTTGTAACTGTAGAATAATCGATGTGTAATATCTCAGCATATAAAGACATAATAAAAAGACTAGTTTCACTTTTAAGATTAACTATAAACAACTTACTTTTCCCACAAGACAAAAACAAGGAGTGTTCACTGCCTTGAAGTGAAGGCACATTCATCCATTTACTTTTTCCCCAGATAGTTACATTTAAAGCAAGAACATGTGTGTCTAAGTGTAGATAGGAAGAAAAAACTTTACTGCTACAAAGATTGGAAGTCATTCGACCTAAAAGATCAACAGATAGGAAGCCCTGCCTGCTTATAAGTCGACCTCTTGATTTGAAAAGTTGACATCACCAAATGTATGTGTTACTTAAAGATGGAGCGAGTCAGTAAAACACAGTACTTCAGATCTCACCGATGGAAAAGCTGTGAAACTTAAAAAAATGTCATCTCAATCTGTGAATACTCAGGTTTGTTCCCAATTAGGCAGCATAACATATACTTACTGAACACTTGCGTCTCAAGGACAGAGACTCAGAAAAGACAAAATCAAACGCTCAGAGGGCTGGGGCTGTCCGTCCCACCCAGCAAGGACCGACACCAGCACAGGTGCCACGTCGGAAGCACTCGGCAAACACGGGCTTATTGTACAGAAAGTCACGAGTGCGTTATCACCTCCAGCCATGCCGGCTGTGGCATGATTAGCAGCATATTCTCGCTCCTGTGCGTCTCTATCTTACAAAAACATAAAACACTTCTAATAATCTTGCCAAAATAAGGTGCTCAGGCCCTCTCTGCCACTGGCCTCCTGCATCAACCCCTCCACGTCTCCCCCAGAGCTGGACTGCTCCCCCTTCAGGCTAATCTCAACACTTCTTTTTAAATTCCCAACTCTACTCAAAATCCTCCAAAGGCTGATCTACAATAGTTCAGTGTGAGCCAAGTCCTCACAAGGCCTCCTTAGGCCTTGAAACAGGGGTCCAAAAACATGGCTCATGATACACCACCGTTGTGCATGGCCCACAGAGCTAAGAATAATTTTTACACCTTTAGATAAATGAAAAAAAACCCTCAAAAGTGGAATAATGTCTTGTGACATGAGAAAATTATATGGAATTCAAATCCCGGGGTCCATAAATAAAGTTCTGGAGCAGAGGTAGGCAGGGTGAACCAACCATCTAAGTGGTCAGCATGAAACACTTGCTCTCCGACCCTTTACAGAAAGTGTGCAGGCCCCAACCCAGAGCACTCACTGTACAAGAGGAATTAATTTCTGCCCTACCGATGAGAATGGTACCCATCGGGATCCACAGGAGCACAGAGAAAAGTCACTCCAAGTGTCTTCCAGGCCTCAGGTACAGATGGGGGTCCTGGCTGAGAAAGGCTGCTGGTCACCAGGCCCAGCCCGTGCCTCTGCTGATTCTTGAACCGGATCGAGCACACAGACTTCAAAATCTTCACCGTTTGCCCAGGATGCCTTTCCAAAATACCCCAGGCTTGTGTCCCCACTTCTTTCAAGTCTTCGCTCAAATGTCACCTTGTAGGTGAGGTGTCACTGCCCACTGCACGCCACTCCCATCCCCCCTTTCCGGCTTTCAACAGGACACTAACCATCGAGTAACTGGGCTGCTGATGAAAAGGTGTGAGCCCCAGGGAGGCAGGGTTGTTGTCTGTTTTTGTCACTACGATCTCCCTAGAAGACAGAACAGTGCCTGGTAATAGTCGTTGCTAAAAAACAAACAAAACTGTACCGAAGATAACATACAAGCATAGACGTCCGGTTAACAGACACCATAGTGCATCCGACTGCCCTTTAAAAAATCTGTTGATTCTGTCAGTCAGCCTTCAGTGGAGTGAAGAGCTTACAAAAGAAATGATGAGAAACAGGTGGCCCTTTTACTTCCCCCTCCTAGAAATTCAATACTGCAAATACCTAGTGGGAGTCACATGCTGTCTACAGGTGGAGATACAACGAAAAATAAGCCGCAGTTGCTGCCCTCAAGAGAGCTAACTCTAGTGGTGTTCTCAAGAAGCCATCAAGTAATTACAACAAAATTTGATTACAAGTAATGAAAGGTGTCTACGAAAGATCACAAGACAACTACCTCCCCCTAGAGTATCTTGGAAAAGGAAGGGAGGGGACTCTGCGTCTGGCCTGACAGACCGGCTTTCCAGGCAAAATGCAAAACGGGTGCCCAGAGACAGCCACACAACCCAAGGCAGAGTGTGTGCTGGGAAACGGAGAGGGGGTACGGCGGGCCGGCGCGTCGACTTCCAGGGGGTGCAGCACAAAAGGGAACTTCGCTCCTGGGAAATGCAGACGCATCAGAAGCTGAGCGACCGGACTACCGGGGATCCTGGCCTTCCTCGCTCGGGCTCCACGGCCCCGGGTGGAGCGGTGAGGGGCCCGTCCTGTCGGAGCCAAGGGAGAACCCTGACACTGCAGGGAGGCTAACTGTTGAAATTCTCAGAATGGAAAGACTCCTGAGTGGAAGGTACTGGAAGGAACTGGCACACGGGGCTGGTTGCCTCGGGGTCCGGGGAGCCAGCTCTCTCACACCCAGAAGATCCGCGCTTCCCGCGCCTTCAGCTCAGACGCATTTACGAGCGTGCGCCGCGGACCAGCCAGCGAACGCGCCGTCTCGGGTCTCGGGCATCAGGGGCCCCAGAGTCTCAGTCCCGCAGCGTCAGGTCCACCCAACCAAGGGTTCAGGGGGCTCCAGGCGAGTGTGGCGGAAGGGGACCCGGCTCGTGGCGAGGGCGCTGCGGGCGAGGCGCCCCGGGCTTGCGGGGAGGGCTGGGCAGGGGAGACCCCGCTCCCAGGGCGGGCGGTGTAGGTGACGGAACGCCGACCCGAGAGACCTGGGCAAAGGCCCGAGGCCCCAGGCCTGCAGAGGGGGCTGAGCCGTGACCGGTGACCCGGCTTAGCTCGGAACGGGAAGGCGCGGGGACGGGTCTCGCACAGCGGGCCGGGCAGGGACGCGGCGCCAAGGGAGAGCCCGGGGCGAAGCCAGCCCCCCCGGGGTCCGCGTCGCCGGCCTCCGCCCAGTCGCCGCTCCCGGCCCAGCGCGCAGTGCGGAGCGCACGAGGCCCACCCGACCCTCCAGGCAAGTCAGGCGTCTCACCCAGACACACGAACAGCACCGACTTGGGGACCCGCTCCGCCATCTTCCCGCGCAAACAGAGGCGCCTACTGACGGCGTCGGAACGTTTCTGGCGCAGCGCATGCGCACTGAGCACGTTCCCCCTCCTGTGCGCCTGCGCCGTCAGACTGGCTCCGCCCAGGGTGGACAAGAGGGTCTCGCGCCTGCGCAGTCAGGTTTCACCTACGCGAGCGGGAGGCGGGGCCGAGACTAGCCAGGAGGCGGGGGCGGGGCCGAGACTAGGCGGGGGCGGGGCCGAGGGCACCTGGAAGGCGGAGGGAGGGGCTTCGGGGCCGGGACGCGAGAGGCGGGTTCCGCAGGCACCTGGAGGGCGGGGTCGGGCGCCTCCGAGAGGGGACGGGGGCGCGTGGCCGGGCGCCACCTGGAGGCGATGGGGCCCCAGGGGACCGACCCAGAGGGGCTCACTCAGGCTCCGAGGAGTGATCGCCTGAGGATGGGGGCGGGCGCCGGTCCCCGTCCCGGTCCGGCTTCGGGGCTGCAGACCCTCATGGAGGCCCCGCGGCGGGAGGGGCCCCGCTGCGTCCGGTCAGGCCGCGCCCCCCCGGGTTCAATGAACGCCCCCTGCCCCCCTGGGCCTCGAGGCCGGAACGTGAGGCCGGTGATACGGGATGCGCTGCATCCGCTCGGGACCCGAGACCCCCGCTCTGCCCGGGTGGGAGCCGCCGCGCACCACCGTCCGCTCTGCGACAGGGGGGCGTGTCAGGGTTGCCCCGATTCTAAGGAGATGGGGTGTTTCAGAAGCCCCCTCGGGACGGACGACGTGGAGCACAGCCCGCCCTCGCCCCGGGGCTGCGCGTGTCTGCCCGGCGTTACCTGAGTCAGGTGTGCACCGCGCGGGGCGGGCCCGGCCCCGGAGGCGGAGCGCGGCCGAGGGCGCCCTTCCTCTTCCTGGGTTGCTGCCGGCAGGTGGAGGGGCGCGGAGCGGACCGGGCTCGGGGCCACAAGTGAGTACCGGTGTCGGCCACGCCGCTGGCCGGACCCGGACCGGGTCCTTCCCCTTTAAGAAAGTTTTGCTGGCGGGGAAATCGTTGGTGAAAGAGGGCGAGAGAAACGTGATGCCTCAGCTTTTTGCTGCTGCGCATCTATTAACGCTAAGCTCGCCGCAGACTGCCCAGGTTAGGACGAAGCCGTTCCCGCGACTCCCCGCCACAGTGGTTTTGATTCAGGTCCAGCCCCAGTGGTTCCATTCACAGGGAAGCTCTAAGTACGCTTTTTATTTTAACGATTGTAAATCATTTTATGTTATTTGTAAATATCTGATAGTTGAAAAGCCACGGATTAGTATCTTTTTAGTATCCAATTTGTTTCCATAGATGAAACTCTAGAGCTTGGACGTGATGGTTTGGGTTTCGCGCGTGCTTGACTCATGGGGGCAAGAGGCAGAAAGATGGGGTAATGTGCATGGTGGAGGTCCCCTAAGTGAAGTGCCAGGCCCTCCACTATCATCATCCAAACAGTTAGGGGAACCGCTTGGGGTAAAGAGGTGAAGAGTGGGCACCGCCGCCTCCGGGACCCCGTGGATCTGTGGCGGGGGGAGCTTGTCCTTGTTTGAAGTATGACACTGCTCCGAGTTTGTAGATGACAATACGATAATGAGATTTACCTTGCTGGATGGAAACGTCATTTTCACACCATTTCAACAAATATTTCAGTGTCACCACTGCTGCTGCTAGGGCTGAGTTGGAAAGAAGACACAGACATGGGACCCCTGCTCACAGGGAATCCAAACCTGATGGCCCAGATGTGCTGCGCTGCTGTTCTCATGAGTGTTTTCATTGGGATTCCTGAATTAATGATGAGTTAGTCATAAAACCTGTATGCACAGCTTCCGAGAAACACAGGTCTCTGTGCTGGCCTGCCCTGGGAAATACCTGTGCAGCGACTGCGGAGGTGTTTACAGGTTACTGTGTCAGAGTTAAACTAATCAGAATAAGTTACAACTTCCACCATTTGTCATGCCCAGGAGAATTGGTTATTTCCCTTACTAATGTTCTATTTCAACAAAACTTCTGTAAAATGTGTAAATACTACCCCTCATCTTTTGTAAGTGAAAACATAATTTGAAAGAAATTTTTGCTCATCAAGAGCAATTTGATGCTTTTACCCCACTTAAGAAATCTTTCTTCTCTGGAGATTTCTCACAATTTAGAAATAAAGGAAAGTGGAAGTGGGCGCTGACTGAGGGTGGTCATGGAAGTCCTCGCACACTTGTCCTTCCAACAAATGCATCGTGATAGCACATAACTCCTGTGCCATTTAAGACCCCAGCTCCCTGAGGTTTTTGTTTTCTTTGGGAACATGCATTTTTTACACCCAGTGATCTGACCACCTGGCTTTTCTAGTCCTGCTCCGAGCCAGGATCACGTGACTTCAGTTTTGGGTAAAGTGAGTAAAAATGGAAGGTTTCGTTAGGCTGAGAGTTACATTTCTCATCATCCTTCCCCTCGGTCCCCTACCTGAGCCTGGGGTCAGGGGACTAGAAGAGCAGCAGAGGCGCACTGATGTTTGGATGCAGATGGTTCGTTTTGTTTTAGGTTTGGTTTAGCAATTTGGATTAGGAGGGTTAAGGATCTGACCAGAGAGACCGGTTTTGATTTCTAGAACGGGCAGCTTTGTCTCCTTAAGTCAAAGGAAGTAGTTAAACCAAGGCCAGTGAAAGATGAGAACTGGTTTCAGAAACAATGGCCATAGTGACCAGGCAGTGGTGTTCATTATGAGGGTCTAGTAAAGGATTTGAGCAAAAAGCAAAGTTTTAATGCCCTTTTAAAGATCACATAGATAGGTAAAGTTCCCTTGTGTTTGGCTAAGATTCAGTCAATTCATTCTAAATCTTTCCTTAGCAGCATTCCTGGATTTTGGTTGGGATATCAATTTAGTGAGTTATCCTTTATTTCATGTAAATTATATAAGTCTTGATAATTTGATTAATGTCTAATGGAAATTTGGGAAACTGTTTCTAAACTTCTGGACTTTTCATAGAGGTTCCCTTCTCATAACAGAGGGTCCATTGAGGAAAATAATATAATGGGTGCTTCTTGATGGAAGGAAAGTTTGGGAAACCCTGAACTCTGGTGACCACATGGTGGGCTGGGGCCCTCTGTCCCCTTGCTTTGCTTCCATACCCCTGGTGGAGGGTAGACTGGAAACTAGTCCGTTTTCTCACCCCCGTGGCAACTTACCTCGAGTGGGACTCGATGTCCCTGTCTGCCCCTAGGCGCCCCAGCCCTAAGTTATTGCCCTGTGATCAAAATGTAAATTATTTCCACATCCTAAAATCATTTCAAGCTTTTGAAATTTCCAAAGTAAAAAATTTCTCCCCAGTATTTTGTAAACTCTTCTTAATTTTTTAAAAAAGTTTAGTATGATAATTTTAAATATTTTAATTTTTAAAGAAAACTTTACATCTAAGATTCTTAGCTTGAGGTTTGGCAGCTATCCTCCTTTCAGGAAGAAACTCAAATGTTTATAGAGAATTTGCTTTACCTTGGAATTAGAGAAACTTAGGACTTTTATGACTGTTCAGATGCCTACCATGATTTAAAATTAAAGGGGCTTCTTCGGAAATGACCTCTGTCTCACCGCTTCAGCAGTGTCATGATACCAGCATTCTGATCGGACCCCACTCTCTGCTTGGGGAACGGAAGAGGGAGAGTGGGTGAGCCCTGCCTCAACACTGAGGACAGGAATCACACTTATATCTAAGTTGCTATTGTTTGTTGGCTCTGCCGGAGGAGGCCACTATATGTAACTGTGACCAGGCGGGGCGGTTTTATCAGAAATGTAATAGAAGCTGTGTCATTAAGGCAAATTAGCCAGGCTCTGCGGCTCCGCTGAACCCATGGCATCTTCACCGCGTCCAGCCTCGTCATTGACACCCCGTTTCTCAGCGACAGCACTGTGTCTACACAGACCTCCGTGGTCAGCAGGCCTCCTGCTGCATCTGAGCCCCCAACTGTTTACGGGAGAGGCAGCCTTCCCCTGCAGCAGGATGTTTGTGATAGCAGCTCTCAGCTGTGGAATGTGCTTATTTGGTTTAATTCTGCTCCTGCGATGGAGTTCAAAGTAAAAAGTCTTGGGGGCTGGGGGTAAGGTTTATGTGTTAATTACTATGCTTTAGTTGTGCATGTCAGAAAATCTGATGCAAACTGGCTTGAGCAGAAAACGAGGTAGTGGTCTGTGTGACTGAGCAGTTCAAGCCACTCGCAGTGTCAGCTGCCACCCAGTCCTGGGCTCCGACAGGGCCAGAATCGCCAGGCTCACTCCAACTCTTGTCAAAAGGTCATCCGCTTGGCTTTGTGCTCAAGCTCCCCTTTGGGGTGACAAAATCTGCATCAGGTGCCTGGGGAAAGGTAGGTGTGTGGTGTCACTGACCAGCTGAGGTCAGAAGTTCTGCTGTGGCACACAGAGGACATCCAGGATGCCCTGCGTCACTCAGACCCACCTGTGCCGACTACAACAGAAGACAGGTGTCCAGCAAAAGGAACAGATCCCACCGGTCCCTAACCCAGTCAGGTGCATTGAGCACAAGACACTGCGGTGCACGAGGGTCGTCAGAAGCACTGCTCTGGCCAGGAGGCGTTTCCCTGGGTGGTGGCAAAGAACAGAGTACAAAGGAAGTAAGAAGGAAAGAGGGAAGGATGTGAGCCTTGAATCACACACTTGAGTGCCGGGAACATGAATTTCGCTGTGAGCCCTCATTTTCCCTCAGGTCTGGGTCTCTCTTCTCCCTGGAGGCCATCCTGCTTTAGGTCGGGGCTGAGAAGACTCTGCTCTGCACCAGGCTGCCCACTCACATTTGCTTTTGGTCTTCAGTTGTCACCAATCCTGAGGACGTGCTGAATGGGCCCTTGTTGCATTCTCAAGGCCTTGACAGCCCAGCTCCCTGACAGAACGACAGCCATGTCCTGCAGGCACGCGGCCGGCCCCGCTACGCCTCCTGGGCTGGAGGGGAGTTTGTGGGGTGAGCTGTGCCCAGCTCAGACCCTGGGGTGTGTGAGACTTCTCGGGGCGCGCTGCTGGCTGACCTCATGGCACTCAGGCCCTTTAGGTTTGGTTTTGTCCTCCCTTTCCTGGGAGGACGTGGAAAGCGCTATTTTAGGGAAGAATGCTGTCCACTTAGACCTGGGTCCCCTGAGCCTGCCCCTCTCTGGATCCGGGAAGCGCTATGGAGCCTGAGAGGCGGGGGGCTTTGGCGTTTTCTCCTATAAATCTGTTGGCGCACCATGTACACGAACATTTTCTAGTCCTCACAGGCATTTGACCTTTAATCCCCCAAAGCCACACAAATACTTTACTCATTTAACACATATTGAGTATTTACAATATGTCATTATGAAATGTGTTGGAGATATTGCAGTTAATAAAATAGTCGATGGGCTTACCCCCAGCACTTACGTTCTAGTGAAGGAGATGACCCAGAAAAATCAGCGAGATGGAGATAGATGGCTAGATAGATAGACACTTAAGATGGATAGAGTGATAGATATAGATATAGAGATAGATAGTCATCGGCCATGGCGCAGCCCAAATACGATGGGAGGACTGAGGGCTCTGTGCGATGGAGTCATACTACCTGAGATGTTCCGTAGACAGAGCATTTCTTTGGAGAAACGAACATAGGGGTTCAAGACTGGGAGCAGAGAAGCCAACATGGAGGCTGTTGAGTGGGCCCCACGAGGACTGGTATTCCTGGGTTCAGGCTGGTAGCAGGGCGCAGGTGAGGTGTCACCAGATCCTGTGTGGATGGGGAAGGTTTATATTCTCGTAGGGTACGTGTGCTGACGGAGGGGCGCAGGGCCTGAGAGAAGCCGAGGTCGCTGGTCCAGGGTTTGAGCGTGAGCTCCCAGGTGAGACCTACCTGGAGAGGAAGCTCGAGGAACAGGTTGGAGAGAAGGTGGGGCATCACAGGCTGTTGGAATGTGTTTAATATGAGATGTTTACATGA